CAACACTAAAGCAACCAACACCAACACTAAAGCAACCAACACCAACAATAGAGCAATCGATACCAATAATTCAACAACAACAACCAAAAAAAATACTAAAACCATCGGCTTTTACTATTTATGCCAATAATAATAATAATAATAAAAATAATAATAATAATATTATTTTTCAAGAAGTAACTGATATTGGAACAGCTACTGATGGTCTTTCTTCAGATCAAACACAGTTAAATACATCGAGCAATAATGGGAATTCTTCTTTCCAAAAAGTACATAAAGAAAATCGAGAATCATTATTTACAAAGCAAAGTTCTCGTAGTGAAAGTGAAACATATCGAGTTCGTCAACAATCTAGAAGTTATACAAATGATGGTAAATATGATACAGATAACAGTCCAACAAATCAAAATTCAACACGTAGTTCTAATAATAAAGCATCAACAAATCATTCATATATAAATCCAAATAGGCCTACTAATTACAATTCAGATACTATAAACAATGATCAATCATCAAAACGATCATCATCAATTCAAAATAATGAAGATGAAAGTCATCGATCTACACCTCAACCTTCATCAATAATTCGAAAATTACATGAAACAAATCCACTCGCTAATTCACAACATACCGAATATGAAAATGTTTTCAATAATACTGAACATGAACCGAGTTTATCTAAAAAATCAAGTAAAAGTCATCAATCAAGTCGAAAGTTTTTTGATCTATTTCGTCGACGTCAAAAAAATAGCAAATCAAATAAAACCAAGGATAAAAAAAGAAAATGAAAAAACTTAAAAACAAAATCTTCAATTAAAACTTTTTGTACTGTTGTTTTTTTGTTCCTATGTGATTTCTTTCGATATATCATTCTATTTCTTTTATCAAACATGTTGTTTGTGGCTTGTTTTGATGATAAAATATCAGAACATGAAAAAAAAACCACAGCTAATAATAACAAAAACAGAGTCATCATAGAAAGAAAAAATATACGATAAGACATTGTTATGTATGCGTAGGCACAATCATTCTTATAAATGTTAACATTAAATTAATAGTTTTATATTGTTTTCTCTTATAAACAGGTGCAAAACCATCAACAATACCTACTAAAACAGGTGATGGTTCAGATACTATTCATTCAGGTCTTACACCTCGTCGACCATCTTCAACACCACCAACTGATTTAGATGCTGAAACAAGAAACGGTAGTGGACGTCAACATCCACGTCCAACATATCCTAGAACACCAAGACCACCTCATGATAATCAAATGGATGGAAACTATGATTCTGATACAACATCTGAGCCTACTCGTCGAATTCCTCCATCAATAGTTGAATCGAAAAAACCGAAACTTATAGATGGATTTACTCAATCTGAAGAAAGACCTACACGAAATGTTGGTACAATGCATGAACCAATTCAAACACGAAATTTTGGTAATGAAGTACAACCACAATCATCATCAACACAAACATCATATCCATCACATATAAAACCATCAAAAGAACCCTTTACTTTTATAGAACGCCGTGAACCTATTGAAGCACCATGTACTAACTATTATCCTGATTCAAGAATATGTGGTTCACCACAACATGTACCTGATGATGTATACTATGATCTATATGATAAAAAACCTCATGAACATATTGAACGTCGATCTCCATCACCATCACCACCTCGACAAACAACTGATTATATTTATGATGGACATTATCATCCATGTTATCATACACAATATAAAGATCATTCACATCATCAACCAATTTCATCAGATGATTATGATCGTTCTCAAAGATCTCGTACTTATTCTCCACCATTACCACCATCAGTAATATTACATCGTCCTATTACTATACCAACTCATGATCGTATACTAACACCAACACATCGAACACGTACAGCATCATCACCACAACAACGACCTCGTAAACCATCACCACAATATCGATGTCATACTCCAACGCCTTCACGTCCTTCACGTCATGTTTCACCAAATCGTCGACCACGTTCAACTACTCCACGTCATCGACCACATATGCATTCACAAGAAACAGATACAAGTCTTGATGCAATGAGAAAACAACATCATACAGGTGTTCAATATGAACCTCGATCAACACAAGAAAAAGGTACAACGCCAAGTATACGAACAAGAATACAACCAATAAATCAACGTTCAACAACAATAAATTCATCAATATATTATCAAGAAAAATATCCTACAGCACATCCAACATTAACTAGAGATTATGATCGTTCACGACAACAGTATTGTAGAAAACCACCAAATTACGATGATTATATAGAAGATTATTGTCGACACAATGAAGAAGACGAAGAAGAAGAAGAAGACGAAGATGAAACACCTTCAATGCATGATCAATCAACTATGGCTGAACTTATTGTTTATTTAGATCATTATACACAATGTGAATCACAACCATTTATGGCTGATCGTTATATTCAAACAACACCAATAGTAGATGAAAATGAACAACGAAATATACCTGATTATGCTGATGAATCATTTATTCGACAATTACCACGTAGTGGTTCAATATCTATTCAACAACCAATGATTATACAACCAGATTCATTACCACGTCGACAACCATCACGACCATCACCAACACGTCCTAAACGTGATGGTATTGATTATACAGGAAATAATCTTGAAGTTTCACTTCATCATGGTTTACAACGAGTATCATCTATACGAGATTCACCTTTACTTAATATTGGTACTCAAAATGTTCTAAATCAACCAATTGCAAATGAATATGTTACTCCATTTGAAACACGTTTTATATATGAATCAGATACTACATCATCAATGAGATCGAGAAGTGATCGTTCCGTTCTTGTACCTGTTCTTAATTCAGCACGGACTCATCTATTTACTAGAAGTCCACCACGTCAATCAAAAAGTAATGGAAATTTTTATCTTTCAACTGCACCACCATCACGTTCAACAAATTCATCATTGCGTATTGATATAGCAACTGATAAATCTTAAGAAAGTGTTTATTTGTGTCTCGTTTGTTTTTTTTTCTTTTTTTTTTTATTATTCTGTGTTCTATTTCGAGCTTTAACTATCTTTGTCGATGATGATAAGAATTCTGTTTTGTTTTTCTTTTTGAAATGACGAAAACACCGGTTTCTGTTTTTTGTTTTTCTTGAGTTAAATATTTTTGCTACGATATAAAATTATCTATTCTATACATCATTATTTATTTATTTTTTCATTCTATCCCATTAGCCCGTGATGATCAGGAATTAATAGGTTCTTCTTCTTCTTCCTTTTCTTATCTTTTTTTTTTGCTTTTTTTTTTTTATATTAAATTAATCTTCTTATGTTTAGTGAACAGTGATCATGTGTTTTTCTTTTCTTTTTTTTTTTGTCTTCTTATATTGTATCAAGTATATTTGTGGATAATACAGAATAAACAAGTATTGCTTCATATTTGTATTAAAAAAAAAAAGATTTCTATTGGTTATTGTTTTTGTCAAAATTAACCTCATAATTAAAGCTTATTATCTAAATAAAGATCTGTTAGCTTGTCTTTGTACTATTTATTTATGACATAGGGGGTATTTTCACTATTTCAAACGATTGATTTTAGTTGAGCAATTTTATTTTGATATTCTTTCATCATTATTACATTTACTGATTTTCTGTTATGGCGCATAATATTTTTTTTACATCTCGCTCTATATATATATAGACAAACATTTCAACGTGATTCAGTTTTTTTTTCGCATGACATAAGCATAAAAAAGTTTGTTGTTGCTTCATAAAGGTAATGAAAATATGCTAATCATTTCATATAAACGCCGAAATAAATTTGTTTATTTGATGCTTGAAAATATCAAAAATTATCAACAGTTTGTAAAAATTTAGTATACATCATTTGAAAACTAATTTATGAATGATTGATTGAGTGTAACATACGCCAATAAATGTTTTCTAACACTCGACATCCTGGTAAATTCCATCTGACTTTTTTTCTTTCATGCTATTATTCATACGATTTTAAAACTCATCGCTGATTCTTTTCTTTCTATTTTACAGAATGTAGTGTAAATTGTTCTTCCTGTTGTTACATATACACGTAATTGAGTCATGATCAGTTAAACTTTTTGGGAAGCATAAATTTTGTCGACTACAAAAAATGTCGATCGTAAATTTGTCGACGTCGACAAATTTTATCCACAAATTTACGATCGACATTTTTCGTAGTCGACAAAATTGTAGACACTCAAACTTTTTGACTTCAATATGAAATCTTTAAATCATAGTTAGAAAGCTTTCAGTTTCAACTTATTTTTTTTTGAACTCTAATCCATTCTAAAAGAACACTACTTTCTACTTGTAGTATATATCAGAAAGCATTGTTTTATATCGTAGCTATCATATTTCAATATTCATGGGCAAAATATCCGCAAAAACTCACAAATTTGTTCGAGGACATGTGCCTTGTGATGGTACATGTTTATATTGGTCTGCTTTGGCAATATTCAAGCAACCTTTAATGGACATATACAATGAAGATTTACGTATGCATACGGCCAATTATATTCGTAAACATAAAGAAACCCATTATGCAATTTTCAACAATAGTACTAAATATAGCACGGTTGATGAATATTGTTCGGCAATTGAAGAAGGAGAATTATGGGGTGGTGATCTTGAACTTCAAGTTCTATCCAATATATATAACACAATAATTTGTTTAATTACCAAAACGGAAGAAAACGGAAACAGTTTTGTATGGTCGTTATTCTATGGTGAAAATAATTCATCGATAACAACGTATGTTTGTATATTACATGATGTACAACAAGCACATTATGATCCATTATATGTAATGAATATTGAAAATACAAATGAACAAGAAACAATTTTCGAACTAAATGATAATATAGTACAAGAACTTCTTGCAAATTTTATTCGAAACGAACTCAAATGTAATTAAAATTTATGAATTAAAAAAATATGTAGTAATAAATATTTTTAGATGATAGTTATGTAAGATTAGATCCTATGACTAATGTCAATGTGAATGAACTACCATCTACAATCAATGGTAACTAGATTATATATATATATGTATATTTTTTATTTTTATTAAATAATAATTCTTAGATTTGAATGATACTGAAGAAATATTGAATTCGACTCTTGAAAATTTACCAACAAAACGAAAATTAGACGGTAAATAAAAATATAATCTTTCACTATTTTGTATTTGTAATTATTTAATCATAAATTAGAACATGATAAAATTGTACTTGGTAAAGATAATGAAAGACAATTACCAATAGAAATATCCAAAGAATATTATGGTTTGTTAATAATAAAAAAAATCTTTTTTTCTTTGGATTTTATATGATTATATTTATAGTTTCATATAAACGAACAAAATCTGCTGAAGATGCTAGTAATCAAATGTCGAAATATTGTAAGTTAATAAATTAGAATTTCTTAATAATTCTTATTCAATTAGATGACAATGATTTAAATTCGACAAATTTTAATGAATGTTTACAAATCGATATGTCTAATGATATATCTGGTAATATATATATATAATTTAGAAAAATGTCTTTGTTTTATTGATTTAATATAATTATAGGCTTAATGATGAAGAAAAATTCAATAGAAGAATGTTCAAAAATTTCTAATAATGAACATCAAAAAGAAAAAACAAATTTAAAAGAAATATCGGCTAAACAAATGGATGATGATAGTCAAAATCATCAACTTAATTGATTTATTATTAGAATTTGAACAAACAAACAAAAAATTTTAATTATATTTTATCTTTTCTTTGCTTTTTTTTAATATTGTATTGATTATTTGATTGATTTTTATCATTGATTGTAAACACTCGGAATATATATATGATTGTTTCCTTTTTTGTTCTTTCATGGATGTGAATGAATAACAGTGATTTAATCAAATAAATAGGAGTGGATAATATTTATTGAAATTCGTACTATAAGTCTATCATAGCATCGAATTGGTTTCGTATTGATTACCTGTATTAAGAAAACTTGCGATTATTTCTAATTTACTATTCGATCAAAGAGAAAGTTAATCTAGATTCTTCGACTTGATCTTATTTTTAAATCAGACTCCATGAATATTCATTCATTCATAGAAAAATGTTAGATTTCAGACAAACTTGTGTCTTCTATAGAAATCACATAAGCTATTTCCACTTCGACTACAACTGTGCTTGAGTAGTATTGTCATCAAATGAATTAGACAAGACAAACAAGCAATGTGATTTTGCTACTTTTCAAAATACTATCGCGATAATTCGTTTCTCTCATTATAATATAAAACGCAGTACGCTTTCAAAATCATAAGTATCTTGGGCATATTTGGAAACGAAGCAGTCGAATTCATCATGTTTTTGAATGTCACGAAACTTTGAATGAACCTTGCTTACTCTTATACGTATTAGTTTCAGCATTTATTAAAGAAGACCTTTCAAAAGTCATGTTTAAGTTAGAAAATTTCAGCAATATCGAAAATATGTAGTGTTATCTAACTTAATATACTTTGACCTTTTCAGGTAGACTTTTTTCAAATAGACATTGTAGCACATTGTATAGTTCAGAATTCAATCATCTCCTGAGTGAATACATCACAAAACTCTATCCAACAGAGATCAGCTGTCTTCCAAGAAAAAATTTAATAAGTACTATTTAATCCGTCTATCATTTTTCAAAAATTCATCTTTAATTTCAAATAAAAATTCTAATTATAAAAATGAACGACAGAATCTGAACAAATTGGAAATGAACAAGATGAATCTTTATTGCGATGATCAATTATCTTGAAACAGAACTATAATCTAGAAGAGATTTTTGACTTCATCTATTTTTATATGTCAATGAATAATAAAAGTAACTTTAAAAGCTCTTGAAAACCATGACAATCATTATCAAGGCAGTATTCACAAAGCCAACAGTCGATTTTGATGTCGGAATAGCTATATTACATAGATATCTATTACAACAACAAAACCATGTTCTTACACCACCAATCATATTCCAAGAGCATTTATTCCATCGGCAGAGACTTGATTGAGCAGGACCTCGAATATATATAGCATATGGCGAATCACTTGTGCTCATCTTATGCAAAGAGATTTATTATTTAAAATTGATTCTCTCGTAGAACCTATACAAAAGAATTAAATTTACAACACATCAACCGTTGTCTGAAGTGATTCGTGAAACAAATTGGCTGTTCAGAGTGAATGGTCGTGGACAATTTGAACAATAATACCAATAGTTGCTCAGTCATTCGGCAGATATTTGTGTTGTGTTGTTGCAGTTAATGACGCCTATACCAGACATTGAAATGTAATCCTACAGATATTTTACTGCTTTCAATATGGTTATACCAATATATACATGGCAACAACAGACAGAATCATGAACACGAATTTTAGTATAAAAATATTCTTATGCTAATTTGAAATCTATAAACAAAATATGAATAACATATGAAATGATTGTTGATGGTTTTTTTTATACGATTTTATTATGAAGTTTTCGTCTTGCGTAATCATTGTACAAATTGACTCGCTCAACCTATGATAGTAATGTTAATTACTATTTGCTACTTGACGAATAGATAAAAAGAAGAATGTTGTAGCTATTTGAAGAGTGAATAGCTAAACGGTTACAGTGATGTTAAAAGATATTTTAACATGTTCATTTAGATATTTTTATATCTATTGCCAAAAGTCTCAATTTTGAACTGCTAAAAAAACTTTAATTTCGATTGTCATCAAGAAAAATCGCTGCTTACGGAATTATAAATTCATAAATTTCCCGATGATTCGATTTATGTTCAAATAATAAACTTTTATCTAAGCATTAGTAATAAAAATCGGCTGTATTTTCTTGCTCAAACTCTTGACAAACATTTATTCGACTATTTTCTAAATAGAAGGTTGATCCGGAACAATTAAAGAATTCATATTTATTTTTTTA